CATCATAGTTATTGCTCTTCTAGTATTTTCCTCAATTTTTATCTTAATGAGTGTGTAGGTACTATCCGTTCGCTTTAAGTTTCCCGCTGGCGATATGACGTCACTCGAAGGGAATCGTCTATAACTATAACAAACTATATTTAGTTAAATTATTTTTTATTTATTATTAGGTATTGATAAAAATTGTGTATTTGCATAAAATAAGACACATTAATTGCGTTTAATCACTAACCAATTGCGTTTAATTGCGGTTGGGAGAGGGGACGCGCGCATTCCACGGACCGGCAAACTTAGCGCGAACGGGTAGGTTATACCACGTTATGCTGTGTATTCCCATCTTAGATTCACAGAAAACAAACAGCGAATGGCGCGCAGCGCAGCGGAGAACATCGGAGAGTATTTACAAAGCCGCAGAGCCTCTGCGGCTTTGTAAATACAGAAATTGCGGTAGAGGAAATGGCATTACATGCCATGTTTTTTGGTCAAAACGCATAAATAGAAGAAGTATACTTTGCGGCGCTCCCACGACAAAACTATTGATTTCACAAAAAGGTTAGTAGATATCAAATAGGAAATTTTCTCTAGTTTTAGTTTCCCTGAGCATGTTTTATCAAAAGACTACCGGAAATTGGCGTCTTTTTTTTTTCGCGCGGCCATCGACCAAACCTTGTTTTTTGATGACAAAATCCCAACTAATATTATAAATGCGAAAGTAACTCTGTCTGTCTGTCTGTCTGTCTGTTAGTTACGCTTTCCCGCTTAAACCTCGCAACCGATTTTGATGAAATTTGGCATAGAGATAGTTTGAGTCCCGGGAAAGAACATAGGATAGTTTTTATCCCGGTTTTTGAAACAGGGACGCGCGCGATAAAGTTTTTCTGTGACAGACAAAATTCCACGCGGGCGAAGCCGCGGGCGGAAAGCTAGTAGNATTTTCCGAATTCTCACTGAAAACTGTTTTTATGACATAGATGAATTTACAAAATTCTGCCGTGGTAACCATATGCGAATTGCTAATTTATGACATTCCTATAATTTTGATACTGACATTGTATTCTCACGTTTTATTGTGATCATAAAATTGTTTAATTTATTATAATTTATGTGACATCCGAAATTTTAATTACCTGAATTACCTAATTGTTTTAATTGATATTGTAATTGCATTGTAATAAATATTTTTGACATTTGAATTCTATTGGAGGTAGATCATGTAATATTAATAATTTAATAATAATACTGCATGACGACTAAATGTTTGCATATCGCTATGTCGATGAAACATGTTTTATGCAAATAAATAATTTGAATTTGAATTTGTTGAAAGGCTTCTACAAACACGCCACAGTGACAGTTCGTTTTAAGATCAGGACCCGAAACCTATCCAGTTGCAGCGAGGGGTGAGACAGGGAGACGTCATCACCACCGCCCTGGAAGATGTTTTCAAGCTTCTGGGCTGGAGCGAGCGGATTCAGCATAAATATCAACGGCGAGTACATCACCCAGACAGCAGACGATATCGTAGTCATGGCTGAGATCGTGGAAGATCTAGGCACAATGCTCGATGGCCTCAATAGAGTCTCTCAACAAGTGGGTCTCAAAATGAACATGGACAAGATTTAAAAATGATGTCTAAAGACCGTGTTGCAACCACTCCTCTAAAAGTTGGAGACTACACTCGAGGTTGTTGACAATATACCTGGGACAAACAGTCCAGTTAGGTAGGTCCAACTTCGAAAAAAAGGTCAATCATCGAATCCAGCTCGGCTGGGCAGCCTTTGGGAAGCTTTACGATATTTTCACGCGGCTTCTCCGTCGCGTCGCCACTCCGCTTTAAATCCGCTTTGAATCCGCTTGAAATTCGCAAGGGTGGCAAGGGCCTTAAAACTCAGAGGCACACTGATGTTCAAATACCGTAGCCGAGTCCTAAAGCCGCGGTACGCGTTCGCCACGAAAAGAGTGATCAAGACAGCAATATCTCACTCACACGTTTCATGCCTTGTTTATAACGACTAGTCTTAACGCCCAGTTAATAAAACGTCGAAACATTACAAATAATATCACATATAAAAAACAAAATTAAAATAAAAACTAAATGTATTCTGTCGAGAACACTGAGAATATTCCCGGGAGCGTTCTCGGTTCTCGAGAATATTCTCACTGGGAATATTGCCGGGAACGAGAACTTTCTCAGCGGCACATCTCTAGTTACAAGCATTAGAAGTTTGATGATTTTACATACTAGATTTGCTTTTGCGCGCAAGTTTTGTAAGAAATAGCAACAAAATAGTGACATTGTATGTGTAAACAAACAATACCATCCATTATAGGCTCCAGACATCAGTGTGGAGCAGAATCAGCGCAATAAAAAAATAGTGCAATATTTTGTTGCAATTTCTTACAAAACTTGCGCGCAAAAAGCAAATCTAGTATGTAAAATCATCAAACTTCTAAAGCTCGTAACTCAGTTCAGACTGAGTTGAGAGGTATACATGTCATAATAAGTTTGGTTTATTACACTATTTTGTAATCAAAAAACAAAATTTGGTCGATAGCCGCGCGAAAAAAAAAAGACGCCACCTTCCATACAAAATCTGGCATTGCCATTTGGCATTGCCATTTATACGAAAGGAATTATTTGAAAATAATAAAAAAAACTGCTATTATAGGCAGCATTTTCCAATATAGTGACTGGACTATGGTCCCATTTGAATAATTTATATTTTTGTGTTAGATAGCCCATTTATCGAGGAAGGCTTTAGGCTATACAGGGTGTTGATTTCAATTCTCGCCATATTTATTTAGGTAATCTATTATTTAAGTCATAAAAAATACAAACGAAGCATTTATCCACAAAAAAAATAGAAACGAAAGTGGATTTTTTACCGAATATTTTCCGTGCGAAATAACTGTACTGTGGCTCGCAATACTGCAATAGTTTACACTGCGGCACCATCGAGCTACGCGGATCGCTCGCTTATCATGTCGGATAGCCTACTGAAGAAAGCCACGCGTAAGCCACGTAATGAAGCTAGTGTAAATAGGTATTTTTCTTTGATTACGTTTTAAATTTTTCTCGAAGTCAATTTTTTTAATGATTTGCGATCAGAATAAGCTACTTAATCAACTCCCTAAATATGGCGAGTATTGAAATCAACACCCTGTATAACATCACTCTAAAGTAGAGATGAAACGGATAGTTGTTTGGCCGGATACCGGATACCGGATATCCGGCCAGCTGCTAGGCCGGATAGCCGGATATCCGGCGGCCGGATAGTTGGCCCATTGTCTCGTTGCATGTCGTGACGAGTTTAGCGCCGCACAAGTGCTTCGAAGGCGATCAGTGGGTATTAGTAGACTAGACTAGTCACACTTTTCGAAAATCGAATCCGTCCGAATAGAATGTCAGATTTTGCCACTTGTCTAGGGGGCAGATCAACAGGCGATTTCGGTTGCTATCGTGCGTGATTGAATAGCGAAAATTAAATTAGTTTACTTGTTGCGTAATCTGACTGAACTGCATGCATCATGTCATCAAACCATCAGTGAAAAAAAGATCGCCTTTTTTATTTGGCAATATTTCGACACTAACAGATATTTACTATTTATGTATTCGTCATTAGAGTGAATAGCCCAGAAAGAGAAATTAGTTTTTTGAAAGACCTTAATATGGCTTTTGTAACTTTTTGGACTTTAAACAAAAACCGTCATTATTATAAGCCATTTTATTGATATTTACTTCAAAGATTAATGTATTTCATTTTATTAATAGAAAATTGTCGTAGTTTTTTAATATCCGGTATCCGGCCGGATAGTGAGTTACTATCCGGTATCCGGCCGGATAGTAAATTTAGGCCGGATATCCGGCCTACCGGATAGTTACCGGATATCCGTTTCATCTCTACTCTAAAGCCAATAATAGGGGCGGAGCAGTAAAAAGAAATGTTGCAAGAACGGGAAATATTATTCGAACTATTTTTATGCTTAAGAAGTCGCGGGCACAGCTAGTCTTACTAATATTATAAATGCGAAAGTTTGGATGTCTGGATGTGTGTTACTCTTTCACGCAAAAACTACTGAACGGATTTTGATGAAATTTTACAGTATGTTTTTAACCGAGATTAACATAATAGGCTATAATTTATGACGATCTGTGACAAACTAAATTTCATGCGGGTGAAGCCGCGGGCAAAAGCTAGTTGCTAATAAAACAACGTCAGATTCTTCCATCTATACTTATAATAAATCTGTAGAGAGGTCAATTCTGTACATGAAATATATTTTCAAAATAACTATCAGGGGTGATTAGTGATCGATACTGATGCCAAAAATGCAATCAGTAAAATTTTTGTCTGTCTGTCTGTCTGTCTGTATGTTCCTTATAGAAACAAAAACTACTCGACGGATTTTAACGAAACTTGGTACAATTATTCTTCATACTCCTGGGCAGGTTATAGGATACTTAGGAATTCCCACGGGAACGGGAATTAGCGGGAAAATCCTTTTGTATGAAAAATCTAAACCGCTTAAGTTAGACGCTTGAAATTTGGCATGCAGGTACCTTAGTAAACTTAAAGCTTAGTTACAACAGGATATTGCAAAATTCCCCCGGGAACGGGAGTTAGCGGGAAAAAACATTTGTATGAAAAAATCTAAACTGCGTAAGATAGACTCTTGAAATTTGACATGCAGGTACCTTAGTAAACTTAAAGCTTAGTTACAACAGGATATTGCAAAATTCCCACGGGAACGGGAGTTAGTGGGAAAAAACATTTGTATGAAAAAATGTAAACCGCGTAAGATAGACGCTTGAAATTTGGCATGTAGGTACCTTAGTAAACTTAAAGCTTAGTTACAACAGGATATTGCAAAATTCCCACGGGAACGGGAGTTAGCGGGAAAAAAAATTGTATGAAAAAATCTGAACCGCGTAAGATAGATGAAGGGGGGGGGGGGGTAAAACGAGATCCACGCGTACGAAGTCGCGGGCGGCCGCTAGTTTTCAAATAAAATTATGACACGTCAATACGGTAGGAATTATTTTCAAGACTGACTGGTGTGTGAGAGTTCTAGGCATGTTTTGGCCAAACAACAAACAGACGCCGTCTGCCGCAGTCTCCCTCACGATCCGCGCCGCTGCGCGCCTTCTGATGTGCCTGCCTTAAACTTAAAATAACTTTAAACTAGTCCAGAAAAAAAATCTGATGCATTCTTCACATTACTGGAAGGTAAGTTGTTTATCATGTCCTGCTTTTTATTCTGTTTGTGGTTCACACCTATAAGAGTATCTATGGATTCAAAATATGAAATATTCCAGAACTTTACATCATTATCATGAGAACATGAGGCAATATATTGACCATCATGGCTTATATCAAGACATTCTACTGGTAGTCTATGTTGACCTACGATTCCTAGCTGACGCTGTGGGAACATATGAGCTGCTCTTAACATGCCGTCCTCTCCTGACGTAACAACAATATTTTGAGTTATCGGCATCATACATTGTATAGCATGTTTTTGGCCAATAAACTCATCACTATGAAATCCAAATTCTTTCCAGTTAAATAAATACATCTTTCCTGTTGAAGCACCTACAAGTAGTTTTGTATCTGATCTAAAAAGCCCCATACAGGTTAGCTCTGAATCATATTCTTCAGATGTTGTGTAGATTTTACTGAAACAAAATTAAATTACGTTAAACACGAACAAACGTGCCGTGATATTTGTATTTAAAAATATTTTGAATAAAATATGTAGTAAGAATATTTTTAACATAGGTCCATACCTAGCTTTCAAATCAAGACAAGTCAAAACTCCATCGCCACCTGCACAAACTAAATATTTTTGTGCATCATTTGTAATCATATCCGAAACATGCTCATCACCAATTTTTATAGAAAATATTGGATCAGCTTTTCTCATATCCCACATTTTGACAGTACCACCATCATCACCTAAAGTGGAATAAGCAAAAGTTAGCTGTATATGTGTCGCAGTCGGATTTTATAATCCGCCGTTTTACATTACAGCTAGCCATTTTCAAAAACAGCGCTGTTATGTAATGTAATTAATTACGCCGACAAAACGGTAAAATAAAATTTTGAAAAAAAATTTTTTAGGGCAGCTCCCAAAAGATAAAGTATTTTTTCGGCCGCAAGTGTTTCGCTTCAGTGGCCTTTCGCTCCAGCGTACCACAATGAATGTTTTTCGCTAAAACGTACTTCGCTAAATCGACCTTCGCCACTACGTACGGGACCCGATTATGGGGGTATGGTCACCCTACAATCTAAATGCGATGCGGCTACACGTGGGCCGCCGTATTGAAGAATGTATCGTAATGACTAATCGTTGAACTGCCGTATTACAAAACAGCGCTGTTTTTTAAAATGGCTGGCCGTAATGTAAAACGGCGGATTATACAATCTGACTGCGACATAATTATGTATACTTCACATAAACAAAATATTGTTTTACACTTCTTCTCAAGTTTCATAGTCTTAAAAAAGATTTGATTTTATAAAATAACAAAATATATAAGCAATACCTTTCAAGTTATTAGATTAATTAAAAAAAATAGTTTACGAAAGTTATATTTATTTGCTGAAGTAAGTAGGTACTTACCTGTAACTATTTTTTCACCACCCAAACTAATCATTGAATACACTGGGTCATCATGAGCATTTTCATAACACCTCTTCATCTTTCCTGTTTCAACATCTGTAGCTACAATAGTTTTATCCTGTAAAAGATCAGAAAGTAACCTTTTATTAATCCTATGCATAAAATTATAGACAGACAGAATAAATAAGAGTTATTTAAATGTGATTCAGCTAGGTTTTATTAAGTTTCTATTCCATAGTTAATAGTTTGGTCTATTGCCAACAATATGCCAGATTCTGAAGTCTAAATGAGACCTAGAAAGTAGAAAACCAAAATTTATGGTTTATCTGACACATTTTATCAGTCACTCACTGATAAAATCAGTCACTCACTAACCAAAAACTACAAAATAATGTTTATGTAGACCAAGTTAATATAAACAATTGAAATACAAACCTTTGAAGTGGAATATAAAGTAAGGCCACTGTCATCAAATTCAATGTCTCTACACGCCTTCAGATGAACTTCATATGTCTCAACCAATTTAGTTTCTTCATTACTATATTCATACAATAAAACATCTCCAACAATATTTGCTAAAGCAATTAAATTTTTTACTGGATTGAAAGAGATATTCACTATGAAATCTTCACAGTTAATGGTTGGAGGGTGATCCCGAGCTTTATTTTTTTCAGCTTTAATTGCTTTGACTAACTCATCATCATCATCATCATCCTCATCATCTTCTTCTTTATTATTTTGATCCTCCTTCTCTATTGCTTGATCTGGCGAAGCACTCATATTATTGTCTTCATTTTCTAAAAATAAAACACTAGTAAAAAATCACATTGAAAGAAAGAATAATTTCATAGAAAGAAAGATTTTTTTAATTGCAACTAAATTAAATAACATTATTACATTTCTAATAAGACACCCCGCAGACTATGAATGAAGAATCGGTCGATGTAATGCTTTACTGACCTAACTATCGGCCAAGAAAAAGTCGGTGGTCTGCGGCTGGGCTATATAGGTATGGAGGTGTGCACATTACACCGATTTGGTATCGGCTGATTCTTCATAAGAAACCCAACTACCTATAAAATGTAGTCTTTGCAGTGTCTAAAGATTTGTGTGTAAAGTTTAATTATTACACTCCAATGTGTATCTGTTTCGTTATAAAAATTGACTAGCAAGATAGAAGATTCTTCAATAGATAGATGCTTCAATAGAACTACCTACTAAGAATCAATTAATTTATTGCAGTATCTCATATTTACCAATGACATATCATCAAACATCTTAGATATTTACCACTGTCTGTTTCGGAGTGTTCAAATTCATCAATACTGATTTCACTGCTATCACTGTCATCGTCGGAAGAGTTTTTATCATAATCTCGGAAATCTTCCCCCATTTTAATGTTTTTTGATCTCACTTGTGTATTGTTATAATTAATAAATAAAAGACGTGTATGTTTTACGTGTTCGGCGGACACAGGATTCGTACATGCTTTTCTAAAAAATAACCTAAAATTGATTAAACGTCATTAATGTCTTCTTTTTTTTTTTTTTTTCTGGCACGCACGGCTTGTGCATTTGCCAATGACGAGGTGTAAAGGTTGGGAAACGGATTTTAAAGGAAAATACCCGGGAAGAGCGAAAATTTTGAAGGATCAGGCTATAGTTCCAAAATAGTGAACTGTCCTATGCATGACATTGACAGTGGGGCGCCACCGTCAATACCAGATCGCTGGTTCCGATTTTTACCATGTTGGAAACCATATAGTTGAACGATGGTAGCGCCCCCCTGTCATTGAGTTTGGTGGGACAGTTCAGCGTGGGTCATCTATAATGTCTTCTTCTTCTTCTTTTTTGATGATGACGAACAACAAGTCAACCTCGACGTGTATTGCCAAACACGTCGAGGTTGACTTGTTGTTCGAAACTGACTACCACAGATATGGATTAGAGAAGATACAGCAAGTTGCTCCTCAAAGCGTGTCATTCCGATATGTCCAAATGGACATACATGGTCCGATATGTCCAAATGGACATACATGGTCAAGTGATGTTCATGTAATCCGATTGCAATAATCGGTTACGATGATTTTACGACCTGAATGTCTCCAACTTCCTCATTGGCCCTAGAGCAATTCCAAGTATACCATCAATAAAAGCCTAATTAGAGTCATCAAACCTCTCAGNTACTGAGGGTGCGATTACGTTTCCTGCAATATTTTCCAAGTTGTCGGCCTATGAAGTGGAAGGCCTCTATACCGGATTTCTTGGTCTCACTGTTCCGATCTTTTTTGTCCCGTAAGTCGAATAAGACTCATGTCTAAATCCTCTACCATGTAAAATGAAGTGAAATGATACGCTTCCCGTGATATTCATCAACTCATTGGTTCATGAAGGGAAAGGCTTATCTACACTACGAGAAGGTACAGTAGTGAATAAGTAAGGAATATTACCTGGAAGCCTAAGGCAGCCTCGAGCGGCGTGGGCGAGTCTCCGCCCAGCGTGGCGTAATCACCGAACCGCTCCGCCGTGCGTGACGTCTGGATAGTAGCGTAGGTGTTGTCAGGCTGTAAGACATTATTCAATAAAATAAATAAATATTATTGGATACTTTTTAACTATTCTATTGAGGCAGTCATGAAGGTAAGCTGGATGCACGCTGCTACCAACCAGTTATTATAGATTTTATTATTTTATTCCCTAATAAAATTAAATAAAAAATATAAATAAGTAGGTAATAGAAAGACGCTGGATGCACGCTGCTACCAACCAGTCATTATAGAAAGCATTGGGGGAGGCCTATGTTCAGCAGTGGACGTCCTATGGCTGAAATGATGACGATGATGATGATTGAGGCAGTTTTAGATTAACTGTTTCCTATTTCGACGCTCAAAAAATATCAAAATTCCGATAGTATTGTCTCTGGGCTTTATGTAACTGTGTGAGAGTGACATGATTGACACTGTAGAATAATTATTTAAATGACGGCTGGAGTTTCTGGAGGATGCGGCGGCGAGCTAGAGTGTCTCTTTTGCTGCCTATATGCGCAAATTGTCAAATTCGCAAATTGCCAAATTCGCAAAATGTCAAGTTTTAAAAATGTCTTTATAATGTGGTTTCGTATTTAACATTTTAATGATTAAAAGTTCTGCCAATTAATTACTTGACTTTTATTATTAAACCTAAACAACTGGACATTTTTAAATCTAGACATTTTGCGAACTTGACCATTTGCGCATTTGACATTTTGCGAATTTGGCAGATTGCGACCGCTTGACAATTTGCGCATAAAGGCTTTGCCCTTTGCTGGCCTACAAGAGACACTCACCGGCGCCTGGTCAGGTGGCTGGTCGGCGTGGTCACCGAACACATTCATGGTGAGCTCCTGTTCCTCGTAGGGCCGCAGCTTGGTCTCCAGCCACAGCGGGTTCAGTTCTTCCAGGATCCGGCGCCGAGCTAGACTGTCTCCTTTGCTGGCCTACAAGAGACACTCACCGGCGCCGAGCTAGACTGTCTCCTTTGCTGGCCTACAAGAGACACTCTTTTTTTCTTTTTTTTCGTTTTTCAGCCAAATGACGTCCACTGCTGGACAAAGGCCTCCCCCAAGGTTTTCCACAATGAACGGTCCTGCGCTGCCCGCATCCAGGCTCTTCCCGCGACCTTTACCAGATCTTCGGTCCACCTAGTAGGAGGCCTGCCCACGCTACGTCTTCCAGCCCGTGGTCGCCACTCGAGAACTTTCCTGCCCCAACGGCCATCGTCTCTACGAGCTATGTGCCCCGCCCACTGCCACTTGATTTTAGCAATTCTGCGAGCTATGTCGGTTACTTTGATTCTCCTGCGAATCTCCTCATTTCTGATTCGATCACGCAGGGAAACTCCGAGCATAGCCCGCTCCATCGCCCTTTGGGTGACCTTGAGCCTTCTTATGAGGCCCCTTCATATATAGTAAGCGACCACGTCTCAGATCCGTATACCATCACTGGCAACACACATTGGTCAAATACTTTCGACTTGAGACACTGCGGTATTTCGGACGTGAGTATATGGCGAAGCTTCCCTCACCGGCGAGAGACACTCACCGGCGCCTGATCAGGTGGCTGGTCGGGCTGGTCACCAAACACATTCATGGTGAGCTCCTGCTCCTCGTAGGGCCGCAGCTTGGTCTCCAGCCACAGCGGGTTCAGTTCTTCCAGGATCCGGCGCCGAGCTAGACTGTCTCCTTTGCTGGCCTACATGGGACACTTAGGCCGGGTTCCCACTATGCCGGACCGGCATTTCTGCCGGAAACCGGACATCGGACAAGGGTGTTCACATTACACCGGATCACCGGATCCAAAATCCGAGCCGAATGAAGTGCGGGGAGCACGGGCGCGGCGGGGTGGGCCGCAACTCGTTCAGATTACTCCGGTCTGGTGATTTTGCCGGAATTTTGTAGCGACAAAACGCTCGGTAAAAATGCCGGGCTCGGCGAAAAAGCCGGATCCGGGATAATGTGAACAGCTTCATACAATTTGTACCGCCGCTAGGCCTTCCGGCGATTTTACCGGACCGGGAGATCTGCCGGTCCGGCATAGTGGGAACCCGGCCTCACCGGGCCGAGCTAGACTGTCTCCTTTGCTGGCCTACATAGGACACTCACCGGCGCCTGATCAGGTGGCTGGTCGGCCTGGTCCCCGAACACGTTCATGGTGAGCTCCTGCTCCTCGTAGGGCCGCAGCTTGGTCTCCAGCCACAGCGGGTTCAGTTCTTCCAGGATCCGGCGCCGAGCTAGACTGTCTCCTTTATTGGCCTATAAGAGACACTCACCGGCGCCTGATCAGGTGGCTGGTCGGGCTGGTCGCCGAACACGTTCATGGTAAGCTCCTGCTCCTCGTAGGGCCGCAGCTTGGTCTCCAGCCACAGCGGGTTCAGTTCTTCCAGGATCCGGCGCCGAGCTAGACTGTCTCCTTTATTGGCCTATAAGAGACACTCACCGGCGCCTGATCAGGTGGCTGGTCGGGCTGGTCGCCGAACACGTTCATGGTAAGCTCCTGCTCCTCGTAGGGCCGCAGCTTGGTCTCCAGCCACAGCGGGTTCAGTTCTTCCAGGATCCGGCGCCGAGCTAGACTGTCTCCTTTATTGGCCTATAAGAGACACTCACCGGCGCCTGATCAGGTGGCTGGTCGGGCTGGTCGCCGAACACGTTCATGGTAAGCTCCTGCTCCTCGTAGGGCCGCAGCTTGGTCTCCAGCCACAGCGGGTTCTCCGTAGTGCTCAGCTCTTCCAGGATCCGACGCCGGGCGAGGCTGTCGCCTTTGCTTGACTGCATTGATGGGGGAGGTATCACCCTGGAAATGGAATTAAAATGATTATTAAAAGTACCTTAATGAAAAAGGGCTACTATAAAGTCGATGATTATTTAAAAGATAAAAATGTTTGGGATACGTTACTGCCTAGCTCGCATAAATATTTATAACTTTGTACATTTTAAAGCATGTAAACCTTTGAAAAAGAGGCTGACAGTAGTGACTGAGTTTCTTGCGCTGCTTCTTCTCAGCACTGGCCCATTTATTGTCCTGAAGCAGTGGTAGGGTTAGTATTGGGGACGTGTAAAAGTGCTTTTTTTAAGCCTATTTACAGAAATAAATGAGTTTTAATGAGTTTTTTAATTAACTATACATAAAATATTTGATTTAACGTCGCTGCGTTGACTATAATAAGGAAACTAAAGGCTTTTGAAATACAGGCACTTCTTCTTGTCGTGTGGACAACAAACTTATACAGTTCGTTCGTTTCAGCCGAAAGACGTCCAGGCATCCAGGTCTGCACCGCTTGCATCCAGGTACCTCCCGCGACCTTCACCAGATCGTCGGTCCACCTAGTGGGAGGCCTGCCCGCGCTACGTCTTCCGGCTCGTGGTGGCCACTTATACAGTGTCAGCCAAAAACTCCGCTACAAAAGTGGCGTTGTCAGCAGCATTCATTAAATCTTCCTGCGTGCAGTTGTACTAGGCACTTTTTAGTAGTGACAAAGTGCAATAATTATTTCATTTTCGGGACTTACCAATGTTTGAGACAAGCGCAGACGACGATGAAAGTAACGATGCCAGTGAAAAGTACAATCAGCAATGCTATTAGCGCCGCTAGAGCTGGGTCGAAGCTGTCTGGTGCTGCAATATGCAAAGATTGAGATTATTTTCTAGTTTAAAAAAATAATTTTAAAATCAGTGTTCAGTGGTAGAAGGTAAACTTTAGAAAAATAGGTCGAGGCTCGATTTCCATTACTTTGTTTCCAGTTTGGTTGTGATAATTATTACAGACCGCATGGCTTTATTTAGCAGTTTGGCCAATTCAAAGGCGAAGGCTGATAAATAAAAATTTCTTATGTAATCTCACGTTACAACGTATACGATAAAAGTAGTGTATATTTTCCAAAAAAGGTATAACTCTCGTTGCAAAAGTCTAAATATATTTCAAACCTTTAGAAGTAGCGCTGGCTGCAATAAGCGTCTCGACTCCAAACTCCTGGTAGATGTCCTTGAGGTCGTCGAACTTGGAGTCGATGGTCTCTAGCACCCTTTCTACTGGAAGCACCTGGTACGTGGTAGGGTCTACCGCCAAAAGGTGGATTTCGCACCTACAATAAAAAATCGGTTATCTTTCTCGCTCTTCCATAAATTATCTTTTGAACTAAAACGAGTCATAGTTGTAACATGTTGCAATTTTTTCACAAAACATTAAGTATTCAAATCCGGCTCGAAGGACCAATGCTAGATTCCTTATGCAATGAACACAGTTCCTAATCATCATACCGCCTGTCAGCCTGCACTAGCGGTATCCTCCTGCCGGAAACTTTGAGAACATTCCCAAGGGTCGCCATCCGCTTCTCAGCTCCTTCCACCACCAACCAAATAACTGTGCAGTTTCCTGAAGACTCACCAGTCATCATACTGACTGTCAGCACGCATGTCCCTTCCTGGTACCAGCAGAACATTCCCAGCGGGTTCCGTGCCTTTATTGTTATAACTAATAATCTATTTACTGTCTTAAGTGTAAAGAGTTGCTAGAAGACTCACCAGTCGTCATACCGCCTGTCAGCCTGCACCAACGGTAGTCTTCTGCCAGGGACTAAAAGAACATTTCCAGCAGTAGCCAATCGCTTTTGAACTCCTCCTACCGGCGCACTGCAGCTTCGGGATACCACCATGCGGATGAGCGACGATCGGTCGATTATCCACACCTGTGTATGTAGAAGTTGGAGATTATTGTTCTACAGTTCGCTAAGAAACTGTTGATTTCATAAATATAATTTATCTTCTACATTATTATTTTAAGTAATTCGATGCTAAATTCTCCAATTCCGAACAGAAGGGTTGGGGAGGCCTGATGTTTTCATATAATAATTGTTCCCTGAGTAGCTTTATCTGCTACTTACTAGTCTAGTAAATTCGACAGAGCTATCAGTTTATTTTTATTAGAAAACATATCAATATAAAAATGACCGGTTGACTAAATTGGTAACTCTTTCATCAGTTCATTCAGTCCCAGGATACCCACAACTGAACATTAGGCATTGAGAGAACTCAATGATTCCAGGCTTACGTCCTCCTCTGCGCTTGGATATTTAGATCTTTGCTACCCCATATGTTTTTCATGAATTAATTCCCAAAATAAAGCTACTATACTGTAGTCTAGAATTTTGTCCAATGACCCCAAGCTACCCATCCTTATCGCTCGCGCGTAATTATATTGCTGTCGCGACTGTGCGACGGGCGCCCGCAGTGAGTGTGCGAGCGCGACAGCAACATAATTACTCGCGAGCGACAAGGATGGGTAGCTTGGGGTCATTGGACAAAATTCTACGTGCTCCCGGACCAGACTATAGCATGGGTATTGGGTACTCACATAAACCTGTGCTTTAGCCTGTCTGTGCGGCGGCGCGGCCTCCTGCGCGATGATGTCCAGCACAAAGCGGTCCTGGTTGTACTCCGACATGTAGTGCGCCGTCATCAGCACGCCTGGAAAGTTCCAGAATTAGCCTCCGTAATGGCTCGAAAAGTCAATGAACATTAAATTTTAATTGCATTACTGTGTAAATAATGCGATTGCCCGAAGAGAAATATGACTCCCTTTTCTTAGTATGAACATCGTCAGTTTGGTAGACATTATGACTTTGACCTCTTACGAAGTCTCTAGCTAACTCAATTTCAAGAAGACCTTTGATTATCATTATCAAATGCCATAAAAATAGCAACATTTTTCTCAGTGACAACTGTGTACCTACCATGAGTTTAGGTTAGGTGCGCTCGCTAGCGAGTACGTCAAAAATCTCTATTGAAGATTTTGTTTCTTGAAAGTAGCCACTAGGGGCGCTGCACAATATGTCATACAATTAAATGTCATTTTTTTACGCAGTCGCTAGCGAGCACACCTAAAGTAAACTCATGGTAAGCACACTGAACACTAAGGCTCAGTTGCACCATCTTACTTTAACAAACGTCAAAAATCTGTTAAACTTCATACAAAATACACCGGTTATCGCAATAGTTACGGTCAAAGTTAGATGGTGCACCTCAGCCTAAGTACGTTAACATGGTTACACAAGAAATTGGGAAAATTGTGAGTGTCCTAAGTTTTTGCATCACCAGCACAACATCCACCTTCTTTAAAATAACACCTCCACTCGAGTAATTTGAATCTAATTGTAGAGAAAACGTAGTAGACAAAATTCATGATGACAGTATATCTACCTACTCAACACCATACAGAAACCACATTGCAAATGTTACTTTTTCTATTTTTCAGTTAGAAATGGGCCAGTTTCAATGTCAATACTTTTCTCAAGAGTAGGTAATTAAATGGTACCTATTTTACAATAAATAATCTCTAATGTGTTTTCTATTGCCTCTTACCGTCCTGGCTGATGTTGAAGGGAGACGGCACGACGCTCCCGCTGGACTGCGAGGCGCCGAACTTGTACAGGTTGGAGGCTGCCACCATGTAGATCAAGGTTCCGTTCTCGTCCAGGTCAGGGTCTTCAGCCACTACTGATATGACTGGCTCGTTCACTCGCGCTGTGTGCTTTATACCTGAACAAAATAGTTGAGTGAGGCTTTAAATGACGATGAGAAAATTTTGAGGAATTGAAAATGAAAATGAACTTTATTGTGAATGTGAATTTAGGTAAACAATAGCAGACACATGGCTTAATAATAGAAACGCTCCAAATTCTACCTTTTCAGGCGTATTCACAAATTATACAATATTATTACATTTAGATTAGAAATTATACAATTTATATTCGAAATGTCAATTCCACCAATATTATTAAAAAATTTGGTATGGAGATAGATGAAACTTGAAGCACTTGTTTCAATCAACAGACGCATATGTCCATTGCTTGACAAAGGCTTCTCTCATGCTTCAACCATAAATACCAACGCGTTCAGAACGCCATCACGTGGTGTGGTTGAAGCTTTAAGTCTCTCCACAACGACTGGTCCTAAGCTGCCCACATCTGGATGCTTCAGGCATGACCTCTGGTAAAATAATATAAGATATTTTTAAGATGGGTTCAAGAATGAGATGAAGCTGTTCCTCTATATCGTGAGAAGTATTGTTGCTTCTCTCTAAACGAGACTATTCGCATCTTTTGTTCCCAATCGCTGCTAATCCTTTGTAGCTAGAATCTACAGTTTAAACGTCATTAAAAACCCAACCAGTTAAGGTCAAGTTCGTCCCAAGGGATAGTAAATCTCTCTGTAGATGTATCTCACCTGCGTAATAGACCTTCTGCTGGAACTTCGGCTCGTTGTCGTTTTCGTCCAGGATTCTGATCCTGACGATGGCCACACCAGGGTCCTGGCTTTCCGTGCTGTTGTCGATAGACTTCAGTATATCGTGAGGGAGTATTATTACTTCTCTTTGTACGGAACTATTCCCACCTCTCGTTCCCACCGCTGCAACTCCTGTGTAGCTAGGATGTATAGCTTGGCATAAAAACCCTACCAGTGAAGGTCAAGTTTGCCCAGGAGAAAGTGTTTCTCTCTGTAGATGTATCTCACCTGCGTAATAGACCTTCTGCTGGAACTTCGGCTCGTTGTCGTTTTCGTCCAGGATCCTGATCCTCACGATAGCCACAGCCGGATCTTGACCCTCAGTGCTGTTGTCGAAAGAGTTTAGGATCGCTGCTGCATGCTCTAGTATCGGACTGTTGCTCGCGTATATCGTGAGAGAGTATTCCGATTGCTTTTCTCTGTAAGAGAGATAAAGAGATTAAAATTAAGGACATAGTTGAAGTAAGGCAATATTATTTTTCATTAGTCTAATTTGCAAGATCTAGAAATTCTGAGATAAAATAGCTGTAAGAAAAGATTAAAAGAACCTAGTACATGCATTTAGAAGTTCATTTACCTGTCGAAGCTGATATTAGCTCTGATGATGCCCTGCGTCCTATCGAGCGTAAAAGCTCCCGCTTGATTGCCTTCCAGAATGTGGTAGTACACCTTGCCGTGTTCACCGGAATCTTTGTCCGTGGCTTTCACGGTACCTGGAAATTGTAAAAGTATCTTTGTAAATCTATTTATGACATAAAAATTAATTTCCTAAATAGAATGGATTTAGTTGTATTAGTTTCCTAAATGGAATGCAACTCCTGTAAATCCAAGATCTACAGTTGTTCCTCTAAAGAACCCAACCAGTGAAGATTGAGTTCATTCGTTTCAGCCAAATGACGTCCACTACTGGACAAAGTCCTCCCCCAAAATTTCCACAACGACCGTTCCCACGCTGTCCGCATCTAGGCAGTTCTCGCAACTTTCACCAGATCGTCGATCCACCTAGTGAAAGGCCTACCCACACATATGTCTACTGGTCCGTGATCACGGTTAAGAACTTTTCTGCCCCAACGGCCATCAGCTTTACTAGTTATGTGCCCCACTAAGGTTGAGGAGACCTGGAGAAATAATCACTGTTTTGGATCCCACAATAAATTGAATCCTAAGAAAATCTTTGCTTACCAACAATAACGCCAGCCGGTAGGTTTTCCTTGATGCTGAACTGGTGCAAGGTCTGCGGGAAGCGTGGAGCGTTGTCGTCGTCATCAGCTAGCACCACAGACAATAAGCGAAGGCTTTCAAACTGCGCTGGAGTGCCGTTGTCTACCGCCACTATCACGAGCTGGAACAATGGAGGTCAAACTTACGGTCTATGTTTAGATTGTTTGTGGTAAGTAGGTATTTGAAGATCATTCCTCCTGTCCCATAAAAAAAACCATCATAGCTCTCAAAAAGTTAGCGAAATAGTGACATTAATGGCTTCAAAATGTATAGGTGAATTGTTTTGAGTTCACAAAAAGTATAAAATTGATAAGATTAGTGATCATACCAGGAAATTGATTAGGCTGTTCTCGTTGGTGTCTTTTACAGTTGTGATCACTTGATCAGGTAGTCTGCTTGGGTAGGGTTCTTGGCTGGAATATAACTAACCTGGTACTCCGATTTATGCTCCCTATCCAGGAAGGTCTTAGTCCTCAGCTCTCCAGTGTCAGCATCCAGACTGAACTCCTGTGTTTCTCCCACATTCTGGTTGTCCACTTTAAGGTAGTAGGACACGCGGCCGTTCTCGCCGCTGTCTTCGTCGGTGGCTTTGATAGTTGTGATCAGGAAGTCTGCTTGGGCAGCGTTCTGGATTGGGAAAGTTATCAGAATTACGAATAGGGATTCTGAGAAGAAGATAAAGAAATTTTAATTGAACTTTATTATTTTGAAACAGATAATAGGACTTCAAAGAATATAATCTCAATGATAATATTGTGTTAAAAACACTACGCAAGAGAGACTCGCAAAGGATGAAAGCTTCATAAACCAATTCACTCTCAAATGTGAATTGGTTTATGAAGCATGAAGTTCATGATGTGATTCAAAAAACTAAAATCTATAATAAGTGAAAGGTCGCTGGCAGATGGATGCGACCCATATGATGAAGAAAGAGTATAGCAGTGGGCTGCTTTAACTGATAATAATCTATTGCATAATTATGTCAGTAATAACCTCCAGCTCCAGAAAGTCTAAGGAGTTTCTAACAACCCTAAAGGGTTTCTTACAACCCTAAAGGGTTTCTTACAACCCTAAAGGGTTTCTTACAACCCTAAAGGGTTTCTTACAACCCTAAAGGATTTCTTACCTCTGGTATCTCCAGCTGCCTCTGCTCTGGCGGAGGCTGTACAAACACCGGACTGTGCTTATTCACGCTCAGCACTGAGATGTCAACTTTGGCGGTGTCAAAGTGTATTCCACGGCCTGCCTCATCTGTGGCGGTTACAGTGAGGTGGTAGGTGGTGTTGCCAGTGACTGGCTTAGCTGGGTAGATGATACCGTTGTTGGGGTCTACTGAGAACACTCCTGGAAAAACATAATTTTCTATTTCATTTTAACTTTCACCTACTTAAACCAAGATTAAAATTAACAATTTTACAGAAAACCAAATAAAATTAAAACTTTGTCTTCAATGAGGGCTATCGTTTTTATACTTAACAGTTGGCACCCCTGGCGATTGACAGGACCTTACTCTACAGTGGCGCCATCTTGATGAGCGCAAATGCGATAGTCCTCCTACCACTTTGGCGCTCACCAGTTGGTGCCACTGTCTTCGCTACTAGCAAGTGACAGGACCTAACTCTACAGTGGCGCTAACTGGTGAGCGCTAAAACGATAGCCCTCATTACCATGAATGACTAAATTGATCATCATCACGTTTATAAAATAAAGTTTTATCATCATTATTGTCATTTAGTAACCACTACAGGAGCACATCCTGTCTAATCTAGCAGACAACATGGAAGATAAGGCCTACACTTCCCATGCTGACTAGATGTGCTCTCGGAGCTTCCCCATGCTATGAGCATAGCGCCTTTTAAGAGTGGGGCTTGTCCTATTCTACTCTATCAGAACCACACGGCAAAATACATTAATACATTTTTTTATGCATAACAAGGCAGGTATTTGACCACAATCGCACCTGATGTTAAGTGGGATGCAGTCTAGGATGGTACATAATATCTACCCTGTAGGTGCCTATTCACTCTCTCCTTGAAAAGCATAGCACTTACCAGGTTCACTCTGTTCCACAATCTTATACTCCAGCTTGCCATTGATGCCCTCATCCTTGTCTTCGGCCAATACTTGCATGATAGCCGCTGGAGGGTCCAGACGAAGGTTCTCCGCGATGGTGCTCTTGTAGACTTTTTGGGTGAATATCGGCGGGTTGTCGTTGATGTCTAGGACTTTTATGTGGACCTGAAAAGAGGAATTTATCAATAAATCCTGTTTCAGAAAGGTAACAATTCGACTGCCTCGTGTAGGAGTTACACTAACAATTTTTAGATTGCTTCATAGCGATAAGACCGCCTAATTGTACCTTATGTGTTCCTTTTCTTTCTATTTCTTTTTATGTGGTGTACAATAAAGAGTATTTATTATTATTATTATTATAATTGTCAATATTGATCACCGCGTCATCGGCTACAGTGATGACCCTCGAAAAGGGGTCGATGGTGAAAAACGATAATAGATAAACTAGCGGCCGCCCGCGGCTTTCTTACGCGTGGATCCCGTTTTACCCCGTTAGGGGTGGAATTACGTAAAATCCTTTCTTAGCGGATGCCTACGTCATAACATCTACCAGCATGCCCAATTTCAGCCCGATCCGTCCAGTGGATTGGGCTGTGCGTTGATAGATCACTATGTCAGTCAGTCAGTCACCTTTCGAGTTATACAGGGTGTTAGGTAAATGGGTATATGAGCCGACACTAGCCCATGTTAACATGGTTATATAAATGGTATGGTGAAGTCAGAAAGTTGATATCTTCATTTCAATTATTTTATTTGTCATACAAATCGGATTTAAAAAAAAATATTTTGTATGGAAATTTAAAAAAAATAAAATGATGATATCAAATTTCTCACTTCACCATATCATTTATATGCCCATGTTAACATGGGCTAGTGTCGGCTCATATACCCATTTACCTAACACCCTGTATATATTTAGATAAACGCGTCATTATTAAATAAATTATCATCATCTTTTCAATCACAGGACGTTTCAGTACTCAGCGTCATTGGTCCACCTTATGGGTGGTCGGTAAGTAGCCTCAATTTTAAAACCTTGCTGACCAATAAAGAAGTAAAAATTCATCCACTTACAGGCACACTAGTACTCTTGCGCATCTGCTTCGGCGCGTTATCACTGGCTATGGCGTGGAGATAGACATCGCTGGTTGTCTCGCGGTCGATCACAGCACCATCGGCTACGGTGATGACCCCGGATGACGGGTCGATGGTGAATAGGGATGATAAGTTGCCGGTTAGGCTGTAGGTGACTTCGCCGAATTCGCCTGAAAACAAGAAAGAAAGAAAGAAAAATATTTTTATTTAGTCCAAACATCCTTAGACTACTTACAACAATATAATTACTTACTTAAGTAGTTAAATTTGAACTAAAATGGTAGCCACTCAGCATGTGCTATCATATTATCAGCATGCAAGAGGAAATTAGTTGTGATTATAAGAGTTTAAAATAAAATGATTCTCATTGATGATGGTTGTCATTTAGTTTCCAAAGCAGGAGAACGACTCTCTTTAGTACACTAGAAACAAATTAATGCTCGCTCTTCCTGGCCAGAATGTTAATGGTTGTGGGTGACTAATATCTTTCGGAAAACCGTTGGAGTATTATGGTTACAAATATGGGTCATTCAACCTTTACCTGGTAGTGGCAGAATTGTTGCCACCATAATATTATTTTGAACCTTATTGAGAAAACAGTGTACAAAACTAACCAAAAATATTTTTCTCTATACCAGTTAAAGGGTATGGGACATCCAGACTAGACCCACGTCTTTTCAGACGACCTTAGAAGGTAACTAGTAATTAATTATGACTTTAGGGTTCCTAAGGAGAGACGTACAGTGGACTGCCACTGCCAAAAATTATAATGATGATGACATGATGACTCTATTCACTCACCTTCATCCTTATCAACAGCAGTGACAGTCAAGACCTTAGTTCCTGCCGTAGAGTGTTCAGCAACCACAGCGTCATAGGCAGTGGCAGCGAACACTGGTTCTTCATCGTTGACATTCACGATGTCAATCGTGACAGTAGCTGAAGTGGATAGCTGGGGAACGCCGGAATCAAACGCCACGAGAGTAAAGTTTGTGGAGTGGATCTTTTCGTAGTCTATGCGCTGGATTATTTTGACGATTCCTGGGAACAAAATTTAATATTAATGATTCTGGAAATAGATATGAGAACAGTCCAAATGTTAGGGCCTGCTGAATAGACTACTGCTAATAGAATATACGGGTTCCATAATTTCATAGTAGCTGTAGGTGAACAGTGTTTTGACAACATATTAAAAGTACCATCTCAGCTCTTTTGACTGTTAGTTGTGTCCTATGACGATGGCGGCTATAGGCGACTCTTTGTGGCGGAGTAGACAGTAGACACTGAGAACTGTCCCCAGAGGCTGCTTCTCTACCAGGATCTTGTGATAAGCCAGCTTGGAGAGGACCGACTGAGCGCACGTGTACCTTCATACCACCATCAACTTACCCGTAACGTTATTAATCTCATAGCCACGATAGCCGAACGGTGAATGGGTCGGACTGGCCGACTCGAGATCCGAGGAACGCGGGTTCGAATCCCACCGCCGCTCGACTAGTGTGGTGAGCCCACTCGTAACACAAGCTTATTTAGCTTATCACGAGGGGCTAACGGGACTATTAGTAATTGGAGAAATACAAATTACTAATAATCCTTATAAAAAGAAACTCGAAGTTTAAGGGTTGGGCAGGCTGATGACAATGGTAGCAATGGGCGACTCCCTGAATACCGGCTCTGTGCGCACGTGTGCCTTCATACAAACTACCCTCAACTTACCCGTAACATTATCAATCTCGAAGTAAGGATTAGGCGGGCTGATGACGATGGCAGCTATAGGCGACTCCTTGTCAGTGGCGGTGTAGACATTCAGGACTGTGCCCAAAGGCTGCTCCTCCACCAGGGTCTCGTGGTAAGCTGGCTCCGAGAATACTGGAGCGTGGCGGTTCACGTCCACTATGTTGATAATTAGTTCGCCTGGAATAAGAGATAATGTATTGTCTATAACATCATCAGGTCATTTAGTCTCCACTACAGATAAACAACCCTCTCTAATTTACCAGAAGCTTTGGCTTACACTTCCCACACTGACAAGACTGGTTGGGGAGGCTTGATGTTCTCACATTTCACCCTCAAACGCCTCTTAGGACATCCACGTGAAGAGTGGTGTGAATAGTCCCATTCTACTCTACCGGAACCAGTCACAATAGTTTAAAACAATAGAAGAGACTCGCTTAGAAGAATACTCATATAATTTACTGCATCCATAATGTTACAAAAGGTGGTATGGTAATGATAGATACAAAATAAGGACTCTGTCGGCTCAAAATGTTAAAAGCGAGAGAGACAAAAGGCAGTGTTAACCTTGAATTACGATAGTAATATTCTGTCATACCTTCGGTCTGCTGCAGGGTAGGAGCCGAAGCATCCGTAACAGCTACGGGTAGGGTCAGCACGGCTGCGCGGCCGCGGTCAAGCCGCTGAGCGACACTGACGGTGCCGTTTGGCTGGATTGAGAACCAGGAGTCGAAGATGCCCTCGTTTGATACCTGAAAGGGACATGACACGTTTCAGAGCATGTTGAAATTTTAATGATTTTGGAATTTAAGATAAGTGGGTAAGGATCAAAAAGTATTTTTCAATGTAGTGGAAATCTGCTAAGGCCAAAATTAAAACATCGTTTCCATTCAGGCAAATCAGGTTAGAAGATTAAAGCTCGATTCACACATATCAGTGAAGTACCGGCACAGTGCGAAATATTATTTCATACTGTTTCTATGAACGCATCCCCACTTGTCAGTTTCAGTGACGACACAGTGCTCTCAGTGTCAGTGCCGACACCGGCAATACGGACGTATTCGTTTACGACGATATTTTTTGTCGGATCATTAAAAACAGAATAACTCATAGTTTCTGAACAAGAATATTGAAACAGCTCTCTGACATTTTAAAATATTCAAAATATTTCACTGACGCAACACTGTAGCACTGATAGGTACTGAACTGAGCGGACACTGTGACGGAACTGTGGCTTCACTGATATGTGTGAATCGAGCTTTAACTGTACTTTGTGACAAGTGGACAAATTAAAAACAATATAGAGTGCAATGTAATAAGAACCAGAGTAATGGACTCTTTTATTTATGTGAGGAAAACTTGGGAAACGTTAACTACCCCACTAGGAGTGAGGCCTGAAGTAGGTAGGTATACTCTTACTTAAGAAACTTACCTCCTTTCCATTCTTGTCAACTGCCTTTATCAGCCGATCCTTCAGCAGTTCATAGACCAACAGTCCGTTATCAGTGATATCCGGATCCACTGCTATATGGTTGTGCACTTGAGTACCAATATCAGGATCAGCAAGTTACCTACCAAATCAGTTACTTACCTCTTTTCCATTCTTATCCACTGCCTTTATCAGTCGATCCTTCAGGAGCTCATAGACCAGCAATCCGTTATCCGTGATATCCGGATCCACCGCTATGAGGTTGTGGACTTGAGTTCCGATCTCAGCGTCGGNTTACTTATTCTGTGCTACAGTTCACACTAAAAAGAGAGGTAGGGCCGCAGAGAGCGAGATAGATATAAGTAGGTATTTGACTCAAGTTTTTGTTCCAACTCTGCCCTCCATTTTTATCTTTAGCTTCATGGGCAGCATCGACTTTTTTTTTTCCGTTTTTGGCTTTACACATGAAGCTAAAAATAAAAATGGAGGCCAAACTTGGAACAACAACTTGAGTCAAATACCTACATCTCTCTCTCGCTCTCTGTGGGCCGATCTCTCTTTTTAGTGTGGACTGTAGTATTGCTATCTCCTTATTGAAATCTCCTAGTAAATTCTTCGAAATAGCAAATTCACTAACCAAATCAGAAGTTAAACAAATAAATATTTGAACTACCTACATAGTTAAATTAAAAATCACAAAATTGTCGGCCGTTTAGGCTATATGTGTTGGCGAATCAGGGAATTACAATCCCAATTCCTGGGAAATCGGTACCATGTGGCAACATCGCACTATGAACCAAAAGCCCCAATCTAGCTGGACAAAAAGGGTCATCGCATATCTTTCATTCGTTTAGCAAAAACGATAGCAAGTAATAACCAGAGGTAACGATTCAGCCATTATTTTTAGCAACTATCCTCTGATAATTTAGTAATTTTAAGACGAACTTGAACAAGTGAGTATTTTACGATCAAATTATTCACTTTCTTGAGGTTGATATAATTAGGGTAGTATTTAAACGAGTGACTGTAAATTTATGTTGTAAGTGTCAAAAATAATTAATGTGGGCTAAAGAATTACTAAGTGAGCGACTGAGTGCGAGTGACGAAAAATCAAAAGAATAGCAACTTACAAAAAAAAATTGAGTTCCTTAAAATACAAAATGAGAAGCTTCATAATATTTGAGCGACCTAATATTTGATTGAGTGTCAACGTTAGGTCCTGCATTTTTTTCAATATTTGGCAAATGCTTTTTTTATACTGAGCGGTATTTTTAACTTTAATGAAGTGTTTCGAATGCAAAAACTACTTTGAAAAATACTATTATGAGCAGCGTATTATGAGCCCACATTTAAATAAAAAATGATCTTATGAAATAAATATTTGACGGAACACTATTCTAGTAGCGAAAAAAATAAATCATTAAAATTTAAGGGTAGGTAATCAAATGAAACAATGTATTACGAAAAATGAAATAAATTTGTATTTTCTTAAATCGAATCAACAAAAAAAAAACAAAATAAAATAAGTCGCTTCTGTCAACCCAAAAAAAAGTAATCTTATTAATAAGGTTCATTGATTGGTACCTATGAGGATTGAGGAGCTCTACCTACTCATCGTCACTGTATGATAAGTGCTGGCTTGGACTTAGCGGGCCGGCCTCGTTTTCTTTTTTGTCCAATAGGTATCAGTTTTGCTTCCAGTGGCGGTGTTGTTAGTTTGAGCCGAATTGCTAGACTCAAAACGTGTTTGCATACATATTTTGTTAAAAATTCGGGACAGTCGCCCCGCCCCCATTCGAATTCGCGCGCTGTAACAATCTGTAGTTTTCATTAATAAAGCGTATCAAAATAAAAAACATGAGACTCAAATATAATATCAGTAACCAATAATCATTAATAAAGCAGCTCACAAAACTTTGCTTAGAATTAACTTTTTTGTAGTTCGTTCAGTAAAACCTCAATTAGAAAAATCTAATGTATCTTCATATTAAAGTTGCCCTCTCTGTATTTCTAGTCGCTCACTTAGTAATTTAGTCGCCCGGATAGTATTTTTATGTCTGAAATGTAATAATCAAAACCCACATTTTGTAAGCTCGTTCTGGATTTTATTATTGATCAATATTCGTCGTTACTTTGGTAAATTTTTCGCTTACTCAAATTCATACCGCTCAAGGTATTAAAGCAGTATGCCATCATCAGTCGCAAAGTTTTTTTTTAGTCGCTCGTTTTATAATTCCCCATATAATTATCAGTGTCTCCTGATTAATTCTAATACAATTGTGAAAATTTTTGTTATGGATCGTGAAGTAGAAGGTACGTATTACATATTAAACCAAAAAAATATTCCTAAAGCCTATTAATTAATTAAGATACATGTAGAAATAAAATGAAAATTCGTAATTTTCACGTTTTTCTGTATTTGCGAGACCAGGAACTAGTCATGTCCCCCTCATGTCCCCGGGCTGGATTTTTTATATGAAGTAGCCGGATTACTAATGTTTGGCCAAAAAACGTTTCCCAAATTATCACATCGCAAACAACGTTTCGCAAATTTTCATTTGGCAAATTCTCATTTGGCAAAGCAACTTATTGCAAACTTTTAATTCGCAAATGTTTTTTTTGGCATATTATTGTTTAGCAAATTATTGTTTGGCAAAGTATGGTTTGCCAAATGTTTCATTAGGCAAAAATATTTCACGATAAACTATTTACAAAATAATTTGATTGGTGCATAGAATGGTATACAAATTAGCTTATGGTTATTATTTTGTTTAGTGGGGAGTTAATATAAAATTTGTTCTACATTAATTTCCTTATNGTAGAAAGAAGAAATTATTTACGGATTGATAATTGTAAATAACAGCACAAGTAACAAATAATTAATTAGAATAAAGTAGCAGTAGAAGAATTATAAAACAAGTTAGATCAGTGATCGCGGAAGACAGAGTGCACTGTTTAACATCGAAATTATACAAATCAAGAAGTTAGGTCAGTGATCGCAGTATACGTCTATGTATACGACGGCACTGGATTTTGTCGTTTAGAAATATCTTCAAAACTAGTTACCTGACTTAGCTTTATGAAACAAAACGTATTGGCAAAACTACGCATTTTTCATTTATTAAAAATAAAAACCCTGAGTTAGTCTTTATTTTATGAAACTAGGTCAAGTACTAGGATATTTAAAAGTATGAAATTAGGTAGGTATGAATTACTAATAGTACTATTTAACACAATGGAATAACGATCATTACTTTGATATACATTAAGCACAATAAAAATATTATTTGCAAATTATTAAGAAAATTAATAATATAGAATGACGTTTAACGCTACAAAATTATTTTAATCCACAGTCAGACTAGCTATAAATTTAACAAAATGTCAGTTTTATCGGAATAAATTTTTTCGATACGAGTTAAACGATATCTTTCGATGACTTTGCGAATGCAGTACGATGATACGATTATTTTTACGTTGCGGCAATCACTAAAATTCGCTAAAATGACACTAATGACGTTAAAAAAGTAGCACGCTCGTCTTCATACAAATTTTTTGACAAGCTGCATCTATCCATATCTGTGCGGACTACTATTCCGGAGGTTGCGGGTTCGATTCCCGCACAGTACAAACATTTGTGTGCAATTGGAAAAAAAAAATTCTATAAAAAAAAAAAACAATAATTTTTTGACCTCTTTTTTGTCGATAAAAATAGGTCTAGTTTCATCTATTTTCATATGTGCACTTTATCGTGACTCACACTGTATAACACCAAAAGCGTCTTTTCGCTGGGAAGTTTTCGCAAGGAAAATGATTAAATTCAAAAGTTTTTGTTTATTTGCATTTCCATGTGCAATTTAGAATTTATCCAAATCCATTGTTTTGAAAATAATACAATACATACACCATAAAGATAAATATTTTCAAAATAATTGGATCAAAGGATTTGAAAAAAATCTACATTGTACATCATAAAAACAATAATTCCTTGAAGTTTATGAGTGTGCGTGAATTGTGTGTATGTGTGCGTGGACTTTATATATGTGTGCGTTACGTAGGTTTAGTACAGGGATTTTAACACCAGGCAGCAGCACTAGTCAATTATTAGGTTCAAAAATTTGACGGCGGAGAGGGCTCTCTATTTCCAATATTACTTTGCGGGTCTTTTTGCGTCAGTCAGTCACATGAAGCTAAAGATAAAAATGGAGGCCAGACTTAGAATACCTACTTGAAGCACAACCTATGTATCACTATCTCGCTCTCTGTGGGCAGGCTCTCTCTTTCTAAGTAGGGTAACCTTTTATTTATTTTTCTCAGGACGACAAAGACTGATTTACGTTTAAACAGTGTGTCTTGATAAAGTGCACTTAATATGATTATGAAAAAAGGTTTTCGATGTTTTTGTTTTAAGATGAATTACAACATTAAGAAAGTGTAAAGGCATCGAAAACTGTGGATATTTGATAGAAAACAGATTTTAATTTGGCAGTTGACAGACGGATTTGGATATGGATTGATTACAGTAAACGGCCGTAGAAAACATTATGCAAAATTAGATAAGTAAGGTCCCACAGAAAGTCCCAGATATATCCTCAATATGGTCATACTACTTCAAAATGTCTTATAGAAACAAAAATTTTAAATTTGCTCAAAGTCAATGAAACTCAATGTAAAATCTTCTTTTTCTTGACATATGTAACATTTAATAATAAGTTTAAATACTGGTAAAACGTTTTAGGAAGTAATTACTGTGAAAATACAAAGAAATATGTTAACAATGATCCACTGTCAGAAATCACGAAATAAACACTTACGCGTGGAATTTTATATCACTTCCAGGACAACACGAACTACCGCAACCACGCACTATACAATTTTGCACCATTTCTTCAGACAAAACAATGATAAGGTCCCTTGAAAAATCTCAAACGAAATCAACTGCATAGTAAACAACCGCCATGATGGGCCGGATTCGGCCGATGTTGCCACATTACCGATACCTCAGAAATTGGGATTGTAATTCCCTGATTCGCCAACACATTAAGCCTAAATGGCCGACAATTTTGTGATTTTTTATTTAACTAGGTAATCTAAGTTTCAAATATTAATTATTTATTTATTTAACTTCTTATTTGGTTAGTGAATTGGCTATTTCGAAGAATTTACAAGGAGATTTAAATAAGAAGATAGCAATACTACAGTTCACACTAAAAAGAGAGGTAGGGCCACAGAGAGCGAGATAGATATAAGTAGGTATTTGACTCAAGTTTTGTTCCCAACTTTGCCCTCCATT